CATGCATCTTTGCAACATCATCATTCGTCTGAAATTGTTCTGTTCTTGTCCGCGAACAGGTAAGGTGGGAACATGTTCAGCTCAAGTCTTATTCGGTTCCACAATCTGAAACTTGCCTCATGGAGGCTTAATATTTTGGCGCATACACATTATGGTGATTCATGCAGTTCTGATCTGTGACAGGGTAGTACTGACATTGTTTTGCCAGGCAGTTCTGTTGAAACAGTAAAAAAGTTGTGGTCATTATTTAGTTTGTCCACTAGAGCCAACCCACGCTTGCCGCGAACTATGTTTAGATGCTTCTTTTCATTAAGCCCTGCCGCAAAAAAACATTCCAAGCTTTTCGTCCCCCCCCCTCCCCTCCACGAGCATGTAAAATAACGGATGACTACTACGAGATGACCGGATCTAACGGAGTATTTTGTCATTCCCTTGTTCTAATTACCTGAAGATTCCGTTTAGATACGGAATATGAAATATGAAACCGCTGCAGTATCAGATGCTCCTCGAATCATTTCGCGTCCTAATATCACCTTGTCCTTATTCTGGAAGATGCTTGAGTAACTGACAGTGTTGATATGCCAGCCGTCTAGACATCATGACATGTTAATACTTGGAGTATATAAAATGACGAGTTACTGTAAGACCAAATTTTGCCGAGCCATCGTATTCGCGCTGAGTTCTTCGGAGCCATTTAAACACTCATACGGTAGTACATAAGGAGCAGCACCCCTTAAAACATCTTTCGTAGTGAAATGAGGTGGGTTAGCCAAAGGAAATGATGCGGAATGTATTCGGCAATGCGATATCGATATATCATTAAGCTGTGGCCTACATAAGTATTCCGTGGGAAAACAGGAGCAAAGGAGTGGTGGGGGGGGGCAAGTGAAATGCTCCATTAAATCCATTGCTGTGTGATTCATTCGTCATTAACTAAGAAACAGTTGGAAGAGCATAAAAGACGCGAAATATCGGCATTCGTCAACCTGAAACCGCATTCAGACTGCCTCTCTATCACCTCCAACTACTGTTCAGCCAAAATTTTTGGTGCGTCGCATTTTCACCACTTGAACTCTGTTTCAGCATTTGCGCACCAAGCCAATGCGTGAAACAGTCATCTTTCCAATAGAAAAACAAGTTTTTCATCATTGTGAAGTCGCTGCTTCAGACACGTTGATAAAAAGAACCAGTACTGCATCTGTTCTTATAGGCAATGGCATAATAACTCATCTAAAAACAGTGAAATGACGTTTTTGCTCAATGCGTTTGAATTCAAATAACAAATTTCTTTAAAACGCACTTCTCGATGCGCTAGAGATTATTTTGTGCTATTGTGAGATATGAGACGGTCGCTTTAACTAAGCACCTTGGTTGCAGCTTGACCGAATAACGCACACTTGGCTAATCCAATAGTCGAATCTGTTTTAAATTTATGGCATACACTTTCGGCTGATTTTCAGTCAGCATTTGAGTGGTTCAAAGCAGACCTCGTCTGTTTGCATGCATCTAGATGTTTGTTAACTTGCACTTATTTTTCTGTCTTATATGACCTATGGCAACCAGTAACACAAATGGCAAGGTCCTGATATGTCAATCAGACGATGACTTCAGGGATGGTTTATTGCATATTATTTTTAAAATTATGTAATACAGGGAGTTGGCAGTCAGAAACACCATGATGCCCGGATCGGTCACCATGAGCTTGCATACATCGAGAGCAACCGAACGAATCATCGGTTGAGATAACAACTCCGATTTACTACCAATGCTAACCGTATGCATTCAAAACGACAGAAGCTAGTTACCGGTTTACAGCAAGCTCATCACAACATAACAACTCCCTGACAAAATCATTTTTGTAATTTGAGTGACTTGTGTACTACCGAAGCGAAGATCCCAAGGCATCGTTAGGAATCAAATTTTAATTCATAATCATGAACATAAGCTGCTGCTATAATGATAAAATGCAAGCACGAAAACGGTGTTTTACGTGTTCTTCCGTGACCCAGTAGACAAAATGAGCAGCGGCCAAGTCTGCCCACGAATAAGACGCAGAGAACTTCCAGGTACGTTTGGCCATCCGGCCCTTGTTAGGGTCATATTGAAGCCATTTTGTGATTAGCCAAGTTTCAGAAAATTCAATAACGACAGGAAAGTATTGTCCAACAATGTCTGATTAAAGCTGTTCGGCATTCTGACGCTGTCGAAAAATCATGCGTGAGGTGTTAATGCAAGATCAGAGGAAGATCATCGACGGAGGCTGACGAACGCATGTCTGAAGCTTGCCTGGTCAATTAGCCATAGTTAATATCTTTGGATAATTTATAACGAAAAATACGCCGTCTATATAACAGTTATTATGCAAAAGTCCTTGCATGTTCGAAAGATGCAGTTTGACAATGAAGAGGTCTGTTAAAGGTGGAAAAATACTAGAAATGAATTGTGCCGTCTCTTCAACAGATATGTTTCAGAAATGAAGCTGGTCAAGGATGAAAATAAGATCATATTTTCCTATTGTGGATTCATGCGGTAACCCTGAACTGTTGTTCACTGCTACGAACTATCGTTAAATTATAGATCATGTTTCTCGTGATAAATATCGTTTATCGATCTGTTAATGTAAATGAATCTATTACATGTATTTTGTATAGCAAAAGAAGAAAGCAGTTTTAAGTGTTGAATGTCTGTAATTCCAATATATTTTCATCATGGGACTATTTCTGATCCCTTTTTTTCATCCAGATGATGGTGAAGACTGATTGCAATTTCCATATCATAAGCGAGGACATATTTTAAAATTAGAGCCAACGGCAGTTATGTTGTGAGCACAGTGTAGTCTCCTGTTTCTTCCCAATCACGGAAGGAGGAAAGGCGAGTGACTCGATCAGAAACGGAACCGGGATCTCTAGGTTCTGAGTCAGAAGCTATATCGACTGAGCAATCAGAGTTTAAATAACAGAGGTGTAGTGAACAAGTTATTATTTAGATTTAAAAAAATCAATATACTAGCTATTCTTTATGTCTACTTGATAAAATGTATTTTGGGTAACAAAAAATTTAGCAGACAACATTACAGAACGAGTGAAACAACGCTTTTAATTGAAAAAATATGAATCAATTAATTACATGAAGCGCGAAAACAGTGGACCGACAATCTGCTGTGACCCACGATACGAGAATCCGCACTCCCAACCTAATCGTTATCCACAAACGGAAAGTCAGGATGTTTCGCTCCCCTAAAATGGGAACATCATTCAGAAACAAATTTTAAAATAAAAAAAAACTTTATTTGTACTTAACATAATATGCGAAAGCAACACAGATAGTAAAACGAGTCAAACTCAAGACGAGACAACCTGTCACAATTACTGTTAGCCTGATCACCTTGAATAAGCTTAAACTGTTACAACGTGGTTTCCATAAGAAGCAAAAAATATACTTCAGGCTATATTAACAAACACAAATGAACCATGCGTTTCTTAAATTCCCTGTATTTATGCCCTCGTGAAATGATTTAACATTTCAATGGGTCTGCTTTAATCATTCCTTTATTCAAACTTAAAATATGCTTTCACAAAACATTAAGAAAATTAATTCGTTAACCAGAGTTGGCAAGCACATAGCTTCTCCGAAATCAAATTTAATGGTATAATGTCCTCGCTGCTGCACGTTTTGGGACCATTTCAGTCATCTGCAGATCCAAGGTACAGAAACCCGTGCTAAAGGTAACTTTTTTTCTAGGTGCGGAAATACCCCTGGGCCAGTGACCTCATATGATGACGGCATACGCGTATAAAACTGAGCTAACCGGCTTAGGCTAAACCAAGTGGAGGAAGATCTACGAAGCCCTTCTTTTACGCATTAGAGACGACTTTCAGGCAAATCCGCATGAAACCTATCTGACCGGAAACATCGGGCTGAGCTTTCAGTTACAGTAATTGCCCGTGTCACTCATTCGTGTTCACCTGTTGGATCGAGTTCAAACCAAGTTTCTTTCTTTATTGGGACGTTCACATTCTTAATCAAACAGGTATTTTTTGCAGAAAAAACATGTTCATTGTGTTCTGTAGCTCTGCTGTCTTAGACTGGATATACTGAAATACTACAATCTACGTGAAATATCTGTTTCTGGTTTTATAAGACAGCAACATCCATTGAAAAGTATAATTAAGCAAACCAGGGAAATTTAAACAGTCGTTCGCGGATGCTCAGGTTTGACAACTGGTTCATCTCCTCGTCAGACAGTCGGATATCAAACACGTCTCTATTTTCCTTGATTCGTTCCGGCCTTATACTTTTCGGAATGACAACTATTCTGCGGTTGATCAGCCAGCGGAGCATAATCTACAGTTAAAGCGAAAGTTAGATTTCAAAAATGGAAATTCATCAGGGAAAGCAACCTGTGCCGGTGTTTTATGATGCGCCGCCGCAATTTTTTTCACCGTTTTGTCCATCATCGGTGCTGCCATATCTGCCCTGAAAAAGCCTTCCAATTAAGAAAACCAAAACATATTAATTTTACAAATCAAATTAAAATACAAGGATTATCATCTATGCAAATAATACCCTAAAAATCACGAACACTTTAGACAGCATCAAAAATACAAAAATAGAATCGAAAGGTAATGCTAAAACCAACGTACCGCTTGCCCTTGCAGTAACTTACAATTTCGCGAACTGTTTGAGTCCCGGACTGCCGAGACAACCATAGG